CTGTGATCCCTCTCCTTGTGTTTTAACAATATGTTTATTTTGTGATGAACAACATAGAGATCTATTGAATCCAAATCTCCTTTTTTTCCACTTCAACTTTGTTCTTTTTATTTATTTTTTTAAAACGTATCTGTATTGTTGAAGGTATTACAGGTGCCCCCTTTGTTTTTTGTTTTTTTCCCATTGACCCCCTCCACCCTGCACCTGCCCCTCCCAGGTTTTCACCATTCTATTATCTGTGTCCCTGGGCTATACATTTATGCATATAAATTCTCAGGTTAATGAGTTAATCACTCCCCCTCTCCTCCCTCTTCCCCCTTCTGCGGGGGGGGGGGGGGGGGGGGGGGGGGGGGGGGGGGTCCCATTCCCTGACTGGAGGCAACACATACAAATAATCTTTTTAAAGTTTTCTCATTAAATTGTTCAATTCCTGTCATTTTTATTAATATGTGTGATTTAATGATGAAACATTTAGATTCTAAAAAGGAGACACACACAGGAGAAAGAAAAGAATTCCCTCCAAAATGTCAAAGGTAATTCTCACTAAAGCCTTATTAAATTGGATTTGCTTAAGAGTAATGCCTAACAACTTTAGTCAGAAGTTTAATTAAGAAAAGAGAGGTTGAGAGCATGGACTTTGGAGTTAGAGAAACCTAGGTTCAAATCCCAGCTCTGCTCCTTACCCGTCACCTTGGGAGCACTGTTTACCTCTCTGGGCCTCAGTCTCACTCCTCTATAAAATGTGAACACTGACCATGTCGTAAATGATTATAGTGACCTTTCAAGGAGAAAATCCAAGGAAAGCATTTAGCCTAGTGTATCTTCTCCATGCAATTACACCTTTTCAAGTACATTTTTACATCAAATTGGGCTAATAGAATAATGCCAGTAAAGATCTTTAGGAATCCTGCATATCCTATCAATGGATACAGTTTGCACATGTTACTTAAAAACACTTGAACACGATTGATAGTCTTAAGCAATTATAATGACTTATCCAGGCGCTCTATTTGTCAAGTTTGGGGCTAAGTGACTTAGAAACCTTGTCCTTGACTCCTTGCAAGAATTACAAAGAAGTTATTATTATTCTCATTTTGTGGATAAGCAAAATATAGGCCAATTAGCTTAGTACTTTGCCCAAGACCACAGCTAATGAGACATAAAACCTACATCACTCTAAGTGCATTTACTTTCTGGGGGGAAATGATGAACCCACCTCCACCAGTGCACACAACAGAAGCTACAGCTACAGAGGGAACTATTTCCTCTGAAAGCAAAACCCTAAAAACTGGCGGAGCAACTCCTTCACATTGACCAAACAAAATGGAAACCACGCAGAGCAGGTAGGAAAGGCCATTAACCACCCAGTGCAATGATTCACAGTTGGGAGGAAACTCAAAACCTGGAGCTTCTTCCTGAGGAGCAAATGGTTCACACCCCAACTTTTAAGACCAGCACCAGAAAGATGAGCCCCCCAAAATCTGGCTCTGAAGACCAACTGGGCTCATGCCCAGGAGACCCATGGGCTAAGGCAAACTGAGGAACAGCTCTTTCTGTTTTAATCCTCACCCAAGGGTATGTGTTATTTTTTAAAAATTGATTTCAGAGAGAGGGAGGGAGGAAGGGAGAGTGAGAGAGAGAGAGAGAGAGAGAGAGAGAGAGAGAGAGAGAGAGAGAGAGAGAGAGAGACATTGATGTGTTGTACATGCCTGAAGCTACAACTTGGGTATGTGCCCTGACCAGGAATTAAACCCACAGCCTTTTGGAGTACAGGAGGATATCCAAATAATGGAGCCACTGGCCAGGGCGGAGGAGCAGCTCTTCAAGGGCTTGTGCCCAGACTTACCCTCCCCAGGGCCCAGCGCAGAAGCAGCCCTTTGAAAAATGCCCAGATGCTAGGTGAAAGAGACTCATTTGCTAATTTTAAAGCACAGGTCTGAGGGGCAGGACCTGCTGAGATACTCTCCAGGGATGGAGTCTGGCTGGTGCCATCTTCCTGCCTCCCTCTGCCTTGCTAAAGCAGGTAGGGGCTGTCTTTCTCTCTCTCTCTTTTAAATTTGTTCTTTTTATTTTTTCTTTTCTTTTCTTATTCTTTTTTTTTCTGACTGTTATTGTAAAGGTGACAGAACCCCATTATGGGATTCTTCTTTACCAGAAGCAGGCACGCCCAGCCTACCCTCACCTGGCCTCGGATGGCATCTGGGGTCCTCTTCATGTCTTTAGTATTGCCACATTCTCTTGTAAATTAAAAAAGGAAGAAACTATCCATCCACTTGGAAGAAAAGAAGATTGAATGCTTAACCTCTGACTTAAGGAAAACTGATACATCACTTTCCAGATTCCATAGAGCTAGGAGGGATGCCTCAGTGCAAATCCACCCGTGCAGACCTCACCTCAGTTTTGACCAGCGGTGTTATGTTCTTTAAAGGTGTCACACTGCCCTCTGGTGCTCAACATGCTAAAATGTAATATCTCAAGTGGCCACTATTCTCTTTCTATATTCTCTGAATAATCAAGGTGAGGGAGTGAGAGAGGGAGAGGGAGGGAGGGAGGGGGGGGGGGTGGAGAGAGAGAGAGAGAGAGAGAGAGAGAGAGAGAGAGAGAGAGAGAGAGAGAGAGAATTCTATCTTAAAAATCACTTTTAAAATGTCAGAGGTTTCTAAGCCCTTGATGGGCAGACTTTGTCAGCAGGATCCTGGGAGACACTCAGCTACTCAGCACTTCCAGCGCTTGGGAGACTGTGGAAACCACTGACAGCTTCCAAAAGATTAATACTCCTCAATAAAATGGGTCCCCCGAAGAAGCCACAAGACCCAGGCGTGCAGTCTTACAGGCCTTCTTTGAGATTATGCATAAAATCTTTAAACCAAAGAAAAATAACAAAGGATGCATCACATAATGAAACAGTGACCACCTAGAGCCCACACCAGGGTCAGATCCTACTTTAATGGGACCTAAAGTATATATATAATTCGGAGGGCCCTTTAAAAAAAAAGCCTAAAACATATCTACCTTTGCAATTTTATATAAACCATGAAGAACCTTGTAGGCTCTAGCAGAAGCTTCTGGCCTCTAAGTAAGTAAGGGCCCCTGAGAGTTAAATTTCATAGTTTCAGAGAAATTGGCCTCGGATACCAAGGTATTGTTGCACTGCAGCTTCTGGATTTTTCCTTGAGCATTATAATTTGCAGAGCCTTAATAAATTATGCAACACAGACACACTCAATAAGGTGGTAGCATTTTTTGTGTTCTTTATGTCCTCTGACTGTTGAAAATTGATCGTTTTTGAACCATTCGAGCCAAATGAAAGGAAATCAGTTTGTTTATACAGAAACAACTTTAATGACTTCAGTTGTATGTGGAAGAATGAGAGAAGATCAGACACTTCCGGGAGTCTAGAGGAGATGGTGAAAGAATTAGTGCAGCTATTTTAAAAGGCTGAATCCTGACACTTGGTCTTTATGTTCAGCTCACTCCCTGGAGAGGACAGATTGTGTTCACTGATCACTTGTAAAAATCTAGATGTTAATCACTAAGATTACAAGCCAGTCCAAGTGGGAAAAAATCACCTAGCTTTCACAAAGAAGACGTTTCTAAGATGCAGAGACAGAGAAGCAGTGATCAGACTGTCAAACCTCGGAGGGAAAGTAGGGGAGGCTGGGGGTTAGGGGGAGAGATCAACCAAAGGACTTGTGTGCATGCATATAAGCCCAATCAATGGACACAGACAACAGCGGGGTGAGAGCATGAGTGGGGGCGGGGGGGTTGGGGATTAATGGGGGGATGAGCACACGCATGTAATACCTTAATCAATAAAGAAATTAAAGATTGAAAAAATAATAATAAACGGAATTATATAATATATATAAAAAAGAAGAGGTTTCTATTACCCAGAGCAGAAGATGACATTTTTTGGATACTAAACATAGGAAATAAGTTTTTTAGAGCCTGGACGGTGTTGCTCAATGGTTGAGTTTTGACCTATGAACCAGGAGGTCATGGTTCAATTCCCGGGTAGTGCACATGCCCAGGTTGTGGGCTCAGTCCCCAGGGTGGGGCTTGTGGGGGGCAGCTGATCGATGATTCTCTCTCATGATTGATGTTTCTATATCTCTCTCCCTCTCCTTTTCTCTCTGAAATCAATAAAAAATATAAAATAATTAATAATAATAAAAGCATAATATGCTAATTAGACTGGATGTCCAGAAGGACATCCTTCTGACCTTCCAGACAAAGCTGGGGCTATGAGGTGAGTCCGGGTCCTGGGTGCCAGAGGGAAGCTGGTGCCGGCAACCGGGGGAAGGAAGGCCTACTCTTGCACGAATTTCGTGCATCAGGCCTCTAGTAAAGTAATAAAATAAAAAGTTTCCTTAGATGAAATCTCAAGCAGCCACTTAATCACACATTACTTTAATTTTCTGAGTAGTACATAATGCTCTTGAATATTTTTTCTTCTCCATTTCTTTATTTATCAAACATTCTCTGTGTCTTTAAAATCCGTGACCACATGACTCTTGCCTATATTGTCCCAGGGCAGGGCCACTGCATCGTCCAGAACCCAGGGCTGACCCTGGCACAGAACAGTCCTCCACAGTGCTGTCCTGAGTGAACGAGCAAGTGTTTTGTCAGCCTGTGCATTATTTTCATTTGAAATATAAGATGAGAAATGGAAAGATTTTGTGTTCCATAGATCAAAGTACATTTACATGAGCAGAGCAGTTTCACTTCGATGGACGACTTTTTCTGACTCAGTTGATACTTGTGGACTGATTTAGCTTAGTCATGGCTATGAAAGTCAAACCAGTAAAACAGAGAGACAGTCGGGTCTTCTGATTTCTGTGCCACATTCCGTGTGTGCCATTTCCCCGGCTCCAAAACCACTTCCTTCAGACTCCTTGTGCCGTCTAAGTCTGTGTATTATGACAGGGGAGCGACACAGTGTGTGTGCTGTTTTATTATTATTATTATTATTATTATTATTATTATTATTATTTTTGTAGCATTCAGCGAGCATGGCGCGAGTACCTGCAGCGGCAGGACCCCCTGGAGAAGAGGTGCCCGTCCCCGCCCTCCATGTCCTCGGACAAGCTGAGCAGCTCCGTCAGCATGAACACCTTCTCCGACAGCAGCACACCCGTGAGTGCCATTTTCCTTTCCATGGTCTGACGGGCCAGGCCAATCCCCTGATCACTGGGGCTTTGGCTCCAAGAGAGCAATCTTGGGATGTGAGCGGGTGGCTTGTGTTTGGAGGACGTCCATTGCTTATTTGCTGAATGTGAACCCATGGTGAGGGTTTGCTGTCGCCAAACGAAGACATGATTCATAAACACAGAGTGAACTTTATCAACTCTGAGGGAAATGATGCTTTGGACATCAACCTAAAGTACTCATTTATGTGTTTGCCTTCCTCTATTACCGAGAGTACCTTCCTTTTCTTTATAACAGCATGCTCCATTTAGTCTGTGCCTCTGGTGGTGTTTTGTGGTGCTAATATCATAGGAGATTAGTTTGGTTGTAAAGATCATAAAGAGAACTTTTACAGAAAGTATTGAAAAGGATTACGAACTCAGAGGTTACAACTTGAATGCCCACAGGGGCCAGGTAAGTGACCAGTGTGACTGATGGGGGCCGAGTGTGCGCTAACTGAGGGACACAGGCCTCCCTGAATGGCAGCCCCGTGGAGCTCCCGGAAGTGGGTTGCTGTGTAGGGATACAGGATGGCTCTTGTCAAAATTCATCTTCTTTCTTCAGGGGAGGCCAGAAATCCAGAATTTTAAATGTCGGCAACAAGAAAATTTAAAACATATCTAGACCATGTCTGCAGACCACACTTGTTCCAAGGGCCACCAGTTTAAGATCCCTGGGTACACAGTTAAGGAGTGGAACAACCTGCTGGAAGTCTTTATTTAAACAATGACCACAACCAAGTGTGGTAGGAAATAAATGATTAGGTGATTATAATGTAGAGTTTTGCAGATTTAGCCGTTGTCATAATTTATGAATAGTCACTGGAATACTGGAAGAAAAATGAAGTAACTATCCAAGGGTATTATTTTTAAAGAAATATTCCTTAACAACGTTGTAATCCTGTTATTTTTCAAAAGGCTTCCCAACAGCCAAAATAATGTAGTCACAGTGGGAGCACGCAAAGGTTACTTCGAAATGTTTTCAGATGATTGCATTGTGTATTCTTTAATGAACAGTTTTATCTAGTTGTTGATTCTAAAGAGAGAGCAGTAAGTTGAGTTTATAGCTGTGCAAATAACAGTGGCAGAAAATCTATTTTTAGCTCTCAGCAGAAATTGAATACTTAGTGAATCGGCACTTTTTAAGAGAGTTTTTGGGGGGAATGAATTGTCTTAGTTGCCCTTAGTATATCACTAGAGGGCGCACATGAACCACATTGGAAAATGGTTGCGTTCAGTAAAGTTTATATTTAAGTCTTGATTTGAGAGTGAAAAACAATGTGAAAATTGAGTGTTTGGGATACCTTCTCTGTGCAGGTCAATAGAAGGTGAAAGTTAAAAGGCTTTAAGATTCTATGTGAATGACGGACACTGAATATCATAAATCAGTGCCTGTGGGTTAAAGTTTGTGTTTGCTCTCTGTGCACTCCCACCTTGGCTAAGCCTGTCACAAACAGATGCACTTCTTCTAATAACCAGCTGACCTGGATGACTCCGTGTGCTGAGCAGAGAATGAAGTCTTTCACATACTTCTGCTCCGATTGTTTTGGTTACGCACAATGGTTAATATAGATTTAGAATAGTTCTGCTTGCCCTGCTGGTGTGGCTCAGTGGTCGAGCATCGACCTATGAACCAGGAGGTCACAGTTCAATTCCCAGTCAGGGCATGTGCCCGGGTTGCAGGCTCAATCCTCAGTGTGGGGCGTGCAGGAGGCAGCCGATCCATGATTCTCTCTCATCACTGATGTTTCTATCTCTCTCTCCCTGTCCCTTCTGCTCTGAAGTCAATAAAAATACATTTAAATAAAAAGAATAGTTCTACTCTACAACATATATCAACAGTAATGTTTCAGTATGAGCTCCCAAATTCATCATCTTGATAAGAGTGGAGCCCTTACTAAATGCAGGGTACTTTGCCCTGGCTGGTGCGGCTCAGTTGGTTGGGCATTGTTGCGTGTACCCCGTCGGTCACCTGCCCGGGTTTTGGGCTCGATCCCCAGTGAGGGGCTTGGGAGAGGCAGCCAATCGATGTTTCGTTCTCACATTAATGTCTCTCTCTCTTCCCCCCTCTCTAAAAATCAATTTTAAAAATCTTTTAAAAAAATACCAGATACTTTACTAATGCTTTCTGTGGATTATTTCATTGAATCCTCTCAATGACCATATGAATAATTATTATCTCCATTTTACAGATGATGAAAATGAGACTTAGAGATATAATTAGCTTGCTCTGGGCCACACATCTGACTGGAGCCCACTCGCTGCACTATTCCATCCTACTGTGCCACTTGAAAAAAAGACTGTTTAAAGATTATTTTACAATTTAATAGGTATAAACAGTGAATTAAATAATTGAAAAGAGAATCCTTGCTTGATTTTATAAATTGCTTAATTTAATGCTCTTTGATTAAAACCTCAAGCCTCAGCTGCTCAATGCCAAATTGAAAGAGCAACAGGAGGGAAGATAATATTAAGTATTATTAGCAATTTGCATATTAAGTACCATTATACCACAATGTATCATGTGGTAACAGAAAAAATTGTTTTTAGAAATAGCAATTTTAAGCCTGGCCTGTGTGGCGCAGGTGGTTGAGCGTCGACCTATGAACCAGGAGGTCACATTTTGATACCGGTCAGGGCACATGCCTGGGTTGTGGGCTCGATGCCCAGTAGGGGGCATGCAGGAGGCAGCCAATCAATGGTTCTCATCATTGATGTTTCTCTTTCTCCTTCCCTATCAACTTCCTCTATGAAATCATTTCTTTTTTAAGAAAAGGAACATGGTATCTATTTAAAAAAAGAAATAGCAATTTTGAATAACTGTTACCATAGGTATCAAAATAAGAAAAAAAGTAATTAAAAATAAAATAACACTAAAAATATTGTGATTGCACCGAGGAGAACAGTGGAAAATGCTTTGTGTGCTCTTTATTAATCAATTTCATATGACCAAACACTTATTCTTTTAGTTCCCAGCTCTGAGAAATCTGTAATTTGCCTCATAGGATATCATAGAAAGAAAGTATAGTATGATATATTCTAAACTAGATTGGTAACCTTCTCACAAATAATTAGCCTACTCCTGCAGATAAATCCAGAAAAATCTTTGAATTGTTTGGAGACATTCTCAGTCCCATTTGGCTTGGATTGGCTCCATCTACCTCAGCCTTTCTTCCTGGTGATGCCCACTTTCTGCCGTTGGTTCTCCATATTTTATGGTCTGGCCTATAGGGAGCAGTGTGGCTCACAGGGTAAGGCCCTAGACCACCTGACTTAAAATAGCAGCTCTCTGCTATTTTTGTGAGTCTAAGACATAACACCTGAGAGGTCCCTTTTCATCGGCAAACTGAAAATAACAACCATCTCAGAGATGGGTTAGAGTCACTGTGAAGATTAAATGGCACTACATATGTAAAACAAGACACATGATGCTTCTCCATAAATGTTAGCCCATTCTGAATCTGCTCTTAGAAAACACTCCATGTGTTCAAAATGCTGAGGAACAGTTGTGAAGAACAGAGGTGGAATTTTTAACTTGATTCCAACTGGGGAGGCACAGTGCCTGTTTCTGATTCACCAAATGAATCCGTGAAAATCAAATTATCCCATAGAATATGAGCATACACACACACACACACACACACACACACACACACACACACATAATGTGTATTCAGAATGTATATGTATATTATGAGATTGGAGCTGCACATTATAAAAGTAATAAATTAAGCATTTATTTTAGTGTTGCTCCTTTTAAAGACTAATTTTCAAGATCCAAAGGTAAAACCAGGCACAAATCCTTTTGCCTTTAAATGAGTGGCCTCTTCTGAGAGGCCACACCTATATACTTCGTAAAAGCAAGCCTAGATCATTTTCCTCCCTTCTGACTGAGGAAGAAGACATGGGAGGATCTGCAGCAAGGTGGGGAGAATGGGGCTACTTGGCCTCACCTCTCTGGCAAATCAGTGTAGGAAGTGCCATTCCAGTAGCTGCACACCCCAGCCTCCAGGTTTTGATTCTCTCCTGTTCAGGAAGAATTGCAGTTCTGGGCAGGTTCAAGGGCAGTGGTTTGGGCCAGTTGAAGACCCTATTACCTGGAAAGAAGGCTGTGGAGCCCTCATATCGATGGCACTGATTGAGTGGCCCTGGCTTTTAGCATGAGTAGCTGGGTAGTTAGCAAGGGGCATCCAGGTGGCCCACCAAACCTTCCCAAGTATACTACCAAGAGCCAGCACTGCCCATTTGCCAAATGTGCTTGTGCACCTACATTCAAACTCCTTCATTAACCTCCAAGTTTTATTTCCTTTTTTTTGAGATTTACAATTTCCAGGCTTTAAACACATCAGGAAAATTCTAGTGACTGAAGGGAGAAAGTATTTTTACAAAGTCGCACTTGTTTTTTGGGGGAACTCGGGCCCTAAAAGGAATTCCCTGGTACCCGTTCCAATACATATAATCTTGAAAGCTATAAAGTTATAGGGAATGTACGCCTTGTGCTACCTAATAATTTAGTAACCTAGATTTTCCAGGTCACAGCCAAGTTATAGTATTATGCCCAGCTATTGTTATAAACTTAAGTCCCATGATTCTAATGTCTGAGCACCCCAATTCTCAGATCCCTGAATAGCAAATTCTTTGTTAGTCTATTTGTCTTAAATTTTGGTTCAGGGAATGCAGTATAGAATCATATGTGGAACAGAACTGGATCTATTTTTCTTTGAACCAGGCACTTACAGGACCAATGTTTTCTCTTCACAAGTCTTAGAAATGATATTATGTGACATATAATTATATATAACAGTTTGAATGAATATATGTATGTATAAAATGTCTTTACATCACAGACACTCTTCTTTTTATGTCTTTGAATATGGGTGATAGTATACACTTATTTTCATAATTATCCTTTTAACTTAACGATTGGAGGACATTTTTCTTCACAGGTTT